ATCATAAAAGAAATTTTAAATGGCACCTTTTTATTATTATATGGGTGATACTTTTATCTTTTTTATAACATAAAATTACTTATTTAAGAATTAAATATTAAAAAAAATTTAAAGTATCATTCATACATTATAAAAAAATATTATTTATAAATAAGTTTTTTTTTAACAGCATTATTTATAAATAAGTAATATGACAAGTAAAATGCAACATAAGTAATTAGGTTTTTGAATCCAATAATTCAACATTAAATTTGGATTCGCTCTCAAAATTTAGTGTTGAATTTAGTCGGCGATAAAAAAAATTTTTATTCTTCCATAATTTTCTATATTAAAAAAAAAAAAAGCCAACACAGGTAATATATCTGTGTCGGGCAAAAACGTAAATTCATACCCCAACAAATTTCCATGATGCCAGGGTTCTCCACGTAATAATTCCAACTCACATGAAGCCGACCCTCGTGTCTCCATATTAACCAATATTATTATTATAATAATAACTACCCTCCACGACTGAGTCTAAGCATTCCATCAAATAAAATACAAACCATAATGCACCAAAAAAACTATAATAATAATTCATGCACTAAAATCTAATTACTTTAATAGTAATAACATGAATTGGGTTAGATTTTGAAATCAAGACAATTAGATATAGATTATGTGTCCACATCTCAGTTTAATTATGAGTTTATCTAAACCGTATTAAAAAAATATAGGTTAACAAAATTTTAAATATATTTTTTATGTATTAATTTACATAAAAAAATTAATATTAATTTTAACATTTATGATATTTGGATTTTTTATTAGACAATTCATAAAATTAATATCAACTTTTAATTTTATTATAGCATTAATAATAAAAAAAATAAATGTAACCTTATTTTGTGCGTTAAGTGCACAAAATTAAAAACCTTTTAATTATTAATTATATAAGATACAGGATAGAAAAATCTTTTAATTATTAATTTTATATAATTTGATATAATTTAAATTATAGTAAACTAAACAATAATTCAATAGATATAAGTTGTGAAGATACATAGAAAGGATGAGATGAAAGAAAGGCCTTGGGTTGCAAACTATAATAAAAGTTGGATTCAACTGTTGTTGATATCAAATATAGGGGAACGTTTTGATGACTATACTTGCGTAATGAGAATTCATGGCTTTGCTTTCCGGCTTTCGAAGTCAATGTAAAATTGTAAACCACAAAAACAGTATTAAGGTGTTGTTGGCATCAAGTTGTAGGGGCTACGGGGGTTATCATCAATAGAAGGCGTAATGAATGCAGTATGAATTATAATAAATTATAATTTTATATCTTTAAATATGATAAATTCTTTTATATTTGATCTTTCGAATTTACTAGTAATATTCGTTATATCGAAAAAATATATACTCTCCCTCCCTTTGGACTTGAGTCCGATCTCGTCTCTTGTTAATATATTAAAAAAATGATAAATTCTTTTGTATTGGAGGTTAGAGGAAATGTTTCTCTCATTCACTAATTTTTATTGGGTGTTTTTAGAGAATTTTTTTTATAAATTTATATTAAAAAAATAAAAATTACAATTAACTTTAATATTAATGTTAAGTAAATGAATTTAATTAAATATTTAATAAAATAAAAATTAATTTTTAATTTTTAATTTAATTTTATTATTAAAAAATAATTTTATTACATTTTTAATTTTTACTTTTTAAAATAGAAATTAAAAAAATTTATTTTTATTTTTAAATTTAATATAATTTAAATTACCAAATGCATTATTTTTTTATAAGAATAATGATTAAAATGTTAGTATTGTTAAATACTAATAATTAAAAATTCAATCTTCAAATTTAATAAACAATCCACCAACTTCAATAAAACGTACGACCACCAAACTGTTTGGTGGAGTTCACTAAATGCATTACTTATTATATACCAGAAGCATTAAATCGGTTTAGAGTCTATGCGGGCCGCCGGCCACGTGTTCTAACAAAAAAAAAAAAAAAAAGGCAAAATCCATAAAACGGATACCCTGACTTTATTTAGTATTATTATTTTTTTTTTTTGAGAAAAAGGTATTAGCAATGCATTAAGAAACTGCTATACGGCATCTACAATCAGTCCTTATCCAAAAGGATAAGGGTAACAACACAAACAAGAACAAACTGGAGAACTAAAGCAGAGTAGGCCCGATGCATGGGAGGAAGAGAGGTGAAATCACTCGAGCAACCTATGGTCGACTGATCCAGCTATGGGACACCCTTCAAACTACTCCGGAGAGGATGGCGCAAGATCTCCAGGACGCCACGGCAGAGCTCCAGTTCGACGGTGGCCAAAACTGGAAAACAGCGAGCACCTCCCAATATTTACAGGGAAGCCGAGGGTCGCCAGATCTGAAACAAAGAAACTATACAAGAAACAAAAGTAAAACAAAACAACCAGAAAAACAGAAAAAAACCAAAAGGGGTCACCGGAAAGGGACCTAGAAACTGACAGACCCCGAAGGGTCATCGGAGGAAACCGAATAACCCCGAAGGGTCATCGAAGGAGGGAGCACATGCTGGCTCCAGCATGCTTGAGCGGCTGGGGAGCCCAACGACTCAAGCATCAAAAACTTCGGAAGCTCAAAGGCTTCCGATCAAAAAACGCCGCACCGGAGAAGAAAGCAGAAGTAAGAGAGAAGGGAGAGAAAAGGGGGGGGGGGAGAGAGAAGAGAAGAAAAAATTGACTTTATTTAGTATTAAGTTCCTAACATTTAGTAACTACGTTAAATTCAACTAGGGTTAGGCATTTGCCAACCGGGCCTGTGGCCCAATTGATTGGCCCCCAAGCTTTAGGGCTTGGGTGAGTGGAGGTCAGGGTTTCGAGCTCTGCCACCGCCGTGAACTCCACCAACTTGCTATGCCACCACCATGAACTTCACCAACTTGCGACCTAATGGTCGCGCGCCTCAAATGACGGGGTGGAACGTTCACTTTCCTGTAAAAATTTCAGCTGCTAACAAACTAACTCTACTAATTTCCTAACCATCTACCTGGTCAAAAAAAAAAAAAAAACTAGGGTTAGGCATTTAAAATCGAACCAATGTATTATTTGAAAATTGAACCAAAAAAATGAATTTAGTTCAATTTTAATAGTTTTTTATTTTTATTTTTTTGGTTTCGATATTAATCGAATATATTTGGTTTGATTTCGATTAAACCTTTTAAAAATCAAAAAC